AGAGAGAGAGAGAGAGAGAGAGAGAGAGAGAGAGAGAGAGAGAGAGAGAGAGAGAGAGAGAGAGAGAGAGAGAGAGAGAGAGAGATTTGCTTGTGTGACTTGTGTCTGCTTTTCACTGGGTTGTGGTACCGTTGACGAGAGAGGGAGTGGATGGTAGGAGGAATTGCTGGTGAGGCCTTGGATTCTTTGGTTTTCTTTAGGACTTGTGTGAATATTAGATTTTGGCAGATTGGTCCGCGACCTGTGATGATGAATGTTGGAGGTTGGGAAGTTGGCAGCATTGATTATGCGCATTCATATGGCTCATTTGCCTGAAGAGAAATTGAACAACACTCATGCAATGTTGTTGTAAGGGAGGACATTGTTAGCGAACGGGACGCATCGCATTGGTGTCAATGACCCAGGCTCTGAGTGAATCCTGGAATGGAGAGGAAAGCTCCTGGATGTAACCGATCTTCACTTTTTTTGAAGTTCTTTTCGAATTCATGGAGCGGATCCGGGCGGAACTTTGAATTTGTGCGGTCCCGCGCGCGTTTTGGAGTCATGGAGCGAACTGGTAAACCTCAGCGTAACTTAAAAACATGCGTACAGCCGCATGCATGTGTTTTGAACTCATGGTCATCGAACGGATGACAGGAGAGCTCAGATGTGCGCAGAGCCGCTGTAGACCGTGGTTGTGAACAGGGAATGAGGGCATATGCACACTCGGACTTTTGCGATGCATCTGTGGCAGTAGTTGTTGCGGTCACATACATCCGTGGGGGTTCTTAATTGCGGCCAGATACGTGCAGGAAAGGGCGAGTGTGAGTACGCTCTGAGATTTGTGAACGTGATATTCATAAGAGAATGCATGATTTCTCAAAGGAAGGCTTCGCCTTGGGCCCTTAAACGCTCATAACTCGAGCTGAAGGGTCCCACGGGCCGGCTTTTCTCGGGTTTCATAAAGGGTCCCACGGGCCGACTTTTCTCGGGTTTCTTATCAGTTGGAATTACGGATCTGAGAGAGGAGGTGGGCACAGAGAAGATGAAGGGCTTGGAGATGAGATTGCTCGTGCATTGAGATCGCGAGCTGAAATTAGAGGTGTGCTCGGACTAAGACATACGATTGCTGATCTAGTGGATTTCTAGTAAGAACACAAGATCAGTGCAATTTCAAGGTGGATGGGAAAGAGGCTCTGACCTTGCCTGAAGCTCCAGGCAGATGGACGGTGCAGATCGCCGGTGCAGATCGCCAGTGCAGATCAATGTGCAGATTATCAACAGTGCAGACAGTGCAGATGGCTGGCCAAGATAGATTGCCGAAACGGCATGAACCCTTAAAGGCCTGTTCAGAATTGACGGTGCTTACCCATCGTAGACGAAGGTCGATAAGAAATCATGACCGTTGTATGAACCTTGGGAACCTATGGAGCATACAGATTTCTGGAGAAGATTGATGAAACAGCAACAGCATGATCACCTTACGAAAGGTTTCGGGAAGTCCAGGGCGGTTGCAAATCGCGGTGAAGATTTGAGGAGACAACCTGATCTTTAAGCATCTCTGCAGTTGTTGCGCGGCAAGTAGTTGCGGAGTCGAAACACATTGTGGAAACATATTGTGGAAACATATTGTGGAAACATATTGTGGAAACATATTGTGATCTATCTTGGATGTGAGCTGTGCAAGAAAGGCAATTGTTGTCTGGCCTCAGAGTCAAAAGAGGAGGTATTGATGACATCAACACGAGAGGAAATATCGATGACATCAATAGACACAGTATGATGGGCTCCCAACATGATTGATTGGCTCTGTCGACACGAAGAGGAGATATCGAAGACATCACCACACACAAGAGTGTTTATATTTGTTTCCGTTGCAAGCGTTCATCGCCATCCACACTGTTTCTTGGATCTTGCAAACGGCCGAGGAGAGGACATATTGATCACGTCAACACCCACACCCATCGGGTCTTGCGAACGGCTATGGATGTAGCCATTTGCCGAGAGGTGTCTTCTTCAGCTTTCGTTCTTCTTCTTGATGCCATTGACATCTCGCTTGTGTTGATGTTACCAACATTTGCTCTTTTGTTGGTTCTGTTCAGATCTTGTTGTCAGCTTTCTGTTCTTTTCGAAACCTACTCTCATTTATGTTGATGTCATCAAAGCTTTGTTTTTTTCCCCCTTTTTGAACCTACCCTTGGTTCTTTTTTGCGGTGGGTAAATAAAGGTGGGATGGGGGAAGCTGCTGCTGGAAAGAGGAAAGGAGGGAGGGGACCTTATGAAGGGGGCTTTTATGTTTGCTCTTCTTTATTTGGGAGGAGGTGGGGGAGCGAGGGGGGGGGAGGGGGGGGGAGGGGGGGGCTACGAAAGAGAATTTGCATGGAACTTGTGGAGGGTTGATTTGATCGGTTTGATTCCCATGGTGGTGGGGGTGGAGGAGGGGGGAGGGGGGGCCTACAAAGGAGAATTTGCATTGAACTTGTGGAGGGTTGATTTGATCAGTTTGATTCCCATGGACGAGGTTTTAAACGCAACCGATCTATAATACAGGGAGAGAGGTTTTATCGTAATAATCTTTTGGTAGGTGGTTGAAGCATTCTCGAAGCTTGGTCAACCAAATCTCAACCACAACTGGGGGGGAAAATAAATAAATAAATAAAAAATCCTTGTTCCGATCGCAGTGGGACTGTAAGAGCCTGCGTTTGTAATTCGTTTAGAATTTTAGATTATTCAATGATTTAAATTGATTTTATTTCCCTCGAATCCGGCGAACTGTTTGGCAAGCTATATTCTCAGTTCTTCTTCTTCTTCTTCTTCTTCTTCTTCTTCTTCTTCTTCTTCTTCTTCTCCTTCTCCTTCGCCTTCGCCNGCCTTCGCCGCCTTCGCCTTCGTCTTCTTCACCTTCTTCTTCTTCTTCTTCTTCTTCTTCTTCTTCTTCTTCTTCTTCTTCTTCTTCTTCTTCTTTTTTTTCTTCTTCTTCTTCTTTGCCTTCTTCTTCTTTGCCTTCTTCTTCTTCTTCTTCGCCTTCTTTGTCCTTTTTTGAAGTTTTTTTTTATATTCATTTCTTGATTTATGTGTGTGTTTGGCCCCTTCATCCTTTGTTTTTCTGTTTGTCCTCCTTTGTCCTTTTTCCCCTCTGCTCTCCTGCACCCCTCCTCCTCTTCCCCCCCTCCTCTTCCATTTCTCTTTGTTTTTCCTTTCGGTCTCCTCTTCCACCTCGTTCACGAGTATCCGCCCAAGTTTAGTACCTTAAAGATGTGCCAAATAGTCGGTGCCAACGACACGTGCAAACGCACATGCAACTGCCATGCAGACCTGCACACCCAGAGATAAGCAATCTACACCCTTCCCCTCACACGTGCACACTGACAATCGTATTATTTGAGTTTATTTCTTATTCTTTTGTTATTTCTCTTCTTCCTGATATTCTAGTGTTGTCCCTTTTTTTTTTTTCCCCGGGTGTTTCTGAGTGCCCCAAGTTTTTTTTTCCCCCGGGTGTTTCTGAGTGCCCCAAGTTTAGAACCTTAAAGATGTGCCAAATAGTCTGTGCCAATTTGTATGAAGTGCCTGTGAGTCCTGTGACACTGCCGTCTTCCGCCGAACACAACGCACCCTGATTATGAATGTATACAACCTGCCTTCCGGGTTCCATACAGTCAAAATGAGCGTGGGTTGTGTTCGGGAGAAGACGGTAGTAGGGGGGTTGCTATTTGGCAGACCTGTGCCTCTGTGTTTCCTGGCCGATGACAGGACCGTCTCGTAGCTTCCCTGCTCTTGGTGGTGGTGTGAACCTACAGTCTGCAGAGTTTTCCATATGATGTGAGCAGGCGATAGTCAGCACTCATCCTCGCTGCATCAATGGGTTTGTGTGTTGCTATGTGCCTTGCTATGTTGGCGTCCTGCCTGCTTGCCCTGGCCTTCACTCCCTTGTGCCTTGCTGCTCACTGTGCTGCCTTGCTGCTTGCCTTGCCTTTCTGCCTTTAATGCTCATTGTGTTGCCCTGCTTCTTGTCTCCCTGCCTTGTTGCCCGCCAGGTTCCCCCACTGCCTGGCCGCTTTGCTTTGCTATTAGTTGCCTTTTCCGAGCCGAAACCGCAAACCGCATGCTTTTGCTTTGCTATTAGTTTCCTTTTCGGTGCCGAACAGCATGCTTTTGCTTTGCTAGTAGTTGCCTTTTCGGAGCTGATCCGCATGCTTTTGCTTTGCTACTAGTTGCCTTTCTGCATTTGCTGCTCATTGCGGTGCCCTTCTGCTTGCCTCGCTGCCCTCTGGCCTGGGCTCTTTGCTGCATTGTGCTGCTCTTTTCTCTTTGTTTTTTCAATGCCCTCCTGCCTTTGTGTTTCCCCCCCAATGCCCTCCTGTCTTGCTTCCTTGCTGCCTTGTTGCCCTCCTGCCTTGGCTCTTCGCTGCATTGTGCTGCTTTGCGGCTTGCCTTGCAGGTTTGTGCTTTGCTACTTTATCGCGGCCTTGTTGTTATGCTGCCTAGTGTTGTTGTGTGCCCACCCTCCCACCAGGTCGCCTCGCTGCCCGGCTGCTATGCTTTGCTATTAGTTGCCCTCTGCGAGCCGAACCGCATGCTTTTGCTATACAAACCCTTTCGCAAGTGTGTTTTCAACACCACGTATGACTCAAAAGCATTGTGAGGCGGCTCTGTAGACTGTCGATGGTTCAGCCTCCCGTTAAGTCGTGGTGCAGGTCCGACGTAACAGTCTGTTGCTACCCTCGTGTTTCTTTCTTGTTGAGGTTTATGTGCTCTCTCTACCTGCTAGTTGTCAGCTCAAGTCTTTTCGTCCACCAGTTTCGGTTCCCCCTAAACAGGGTCAAGTGGGTTGGGTATGGAGGCATTGGAGGGCTAGCTGCTTGGCCCCGGAACCTGTGTACCACGAGATGTGTGGAGCTTCACAAAGCAAATGCCCTTGCCTACCCTCCCGTGCCCCACCCACCCACCTACCCTCCCACGCCTGCCCTCCCCGACTCATCCACCCACCTTGTCACGCCT